ATCTGGTTTTCTTCCATAAGATCCACATAAATGTCCAACAATTACAACCTCTCGTACTCCAAATACGGACTTCATACCCGATAATATAAGATGAACTTCTCCAAGCGGAGTTAAAATCTTTTCACAATCTTGTATATGATCAACAACATATGTGCGACACCCCCTCGTATCTAAAGTTTCATCCTTGTCTCCTTCTTTGCACCCTTTTATAGGAACATCATCCAGAAAAGGCATAGTCTTTTCCGGAATAAAATCTCTCAATACCTTATTCATCCCATTCATCATATGCGCAACTGAGTTGGTCGCGCCTTGAGGAAGAGTGTACATTCTAATCAATCCAAGCGGTGTCCTCATCGTTGTCATATCTCTACTTCCTTCGGCAAGTTGAAATTGATCATAACCTGAATACAAATCATCCATTGAATAGATCGCCCTTCCAGTAAACGCCTCAGCAAATTCATCCACAATAGGTCCAATTCCTGCATTCCTAACAGTTACAGCATTCACCGGTTGCATATCTTGAATAAACCGTAGTAACCCATTCTTCTTAGGTACCGTAAACCATCGACTAGAATACGGCGCAAATGAAGGTTCCAATATTTTCATCTTTATCTTTTCTTTTAATAGTTCCACCAATTTAGGTAAATGTGCCCTCGGTACTGGAATCGATCTTAGATTCCAAGGTACATGCGGTACAGTGAAGATAACCATAGGTGTTATAATATTTGGATCCACACACCCAATTTCATGAGATTCGAAGGCAAACGATCTACCTTGTTTAGCCAACATCTTTTTGAAGCAAGTAATTTCCTCCGGCAATAAAGAACCATCAGAACCAATCTTCAATTCTTCAAAAGTCTCTTCAGTAAACTGATGTCCAATACTCATTGGATCTCTTAAACTTGCTTCTTTTGATACTTCTCCCATTTGTTCTTTAGAATCCTCTGGTAATGGTCCGGCAACAGGCTTTACCTTCTTATCTGCAGTTTTATATCTCGTCTCTACTGTGACTTCTGGTGCTTGAAAAGATTCAAGCATGGTATAAACCTCTCTCGAATGAATCTCAACAATCTTATCATTATCCCCTAATCCAATAGATGTAATCAATTCCAATGAATCTTCCAGTCCATTTTCTTCATAAACATCCAAAATCCTCTCATCATCTTGCAATGTACCTATCTTGCGTAATTGTCCTTCAATATCATATAATCTTTTTCTTTCTTTTCTTTTAAAATCATCAACTTTCTTATACATAATATTTCCATTCTCCAATATACCAATAAAACTCGAATCAAAGGCACCTTCATCTCGCGAGAGTACCTCCTCTTTTGTACCTCCATAATCTCGCTTTACAGTGGTACCTCCCCAAAATCCTTAAATCCTTCAACAATCTTTGGCAATGGTTTCTCCCTCAACCTATCTCGATTCCATTCATGGTTAGGAGGTACTGTTAGAAATTGTACAGCTTTCCTCCCATCTTCGCTCCGTACATTTGCATAAGCAGAACCATCGTCAAGTACCTTTGTTTCCATCCGTGTTGACGTGATATAAGGTTGTCCTAAAATCAACGGATAAGACGTTGTATCTTGAACGAAGAAATGTTGCTCCGTCGCAACATCCCCAATCCAAATTTTGACATCTGGACAAGCTCCATATAATTCGCCCCGTGTGTTATTAGCTGCTCATATTGCCCATCCATGTTCCATATCAATTGGCCATTTTTGCTTCTTATAAAGATCTTTAGACATGAGATTTATTTCAGAACCATGGTCGACCAAAGCAACTATTGGTTCTTTTATATCTCCTACCTTCACCAATACCTCAGTAGTTGCCCTTGCCCAATGCTTTCGAATATAATGGCTCAAAGTTTCCATTTCCTTATCACTAGAATCTTCGAAACGTACTCGCTGATTATACCCATTCTTTTCATTTGTTGGTTGCTTGTAACCAATATCAACCTCTTCTTCATCTCTACATATTCTTGCATCAATAGCATGACTCATTCCAGTTTCGCTCATTAATTGCCTCTTTCGCTTAATGTTGTCAATGATAACATCATGAAACTCCTTCTTTGCAATTCCCAAGACTTCTTTCAATGTGAATTCGACCTTAGCATTTAATATACGTTCTTCCAACACCCCTTTCAAATTTGTTGTCGCTTCAATGTCAGAAAGTAGCTTATAAGCAATTGATTTGCCCTTATCTTTTGTCTCTGTTGTTTTTTCTCCCAATGATGCTGAGGTATCCTTTACAGGCAATTCTTGTGAAGCTGCCTCCCGAGCCTTGTCTCCTCGAGTTTGCCTCTTAAAAGAATTTCCTTCTCTAGTATCATCAAAATTTCCTCGTCTTTTTTCTTCCATCAAAGCTTCATGTTGGCTCTTAGCAATATATGCATGAACTGAAAGAGACTCAACAGGATCCTCCCAACCTGTTCTTCCTCATATTGTAGCTGCAGTTCTCAATAACGCTTCTCGAGGTAATTTCCCTTCTTGCATTGTAGAAACGGCAGAAGCCCAAAACTCACTAGTTTCCGTACTTCCACGAATTTCATCATCTACTCTAGCACCATAACTTGCACTTTCTCGTGCTACTGTTTCATGCTCTTTTAAGTAATCTTGAACCAATGCTCTCATTCCTCCCTTGCCAAAATTAGTTTGAAGAAGATCCTCTCTATTTTTCAATGCTATCTTCCCATCTTTCCAGCAAATAATTCCCTACTGTATCATATTATTAAATTCATTGCAATCTTTTCTAGTGTGTGAAGCATCATCACACCAAATGCATCTTTGTACATATCCTTGTTTTGAAACATTCTTCGAATTGTTTATAGAAGTATTCTCTTCAAGTCTTGCCAATTTGATTTGAAGATCTCGCATTCCTCGTATAATTTCTTCCATACCCATATCTGCTTTCTTTGACAAGGATGTCGAAGGTTGAACTGTAGGCATTGTTGGTGGTGTTGTACGTATTGGAGCTTTGGGTGCTTGTACTATTTTCGAAATATTGCTCCTATCCTTCCTCCTTTCTTTTTTTGTAAGCAACTCCACCGCATCTTCAACGTTCTTCCACTTCGTTGTCAATCCTTCATCTTCTTCTTTGTCTTCAAGAAGGGGTTCTAATTTCTCTTGCAATTCTCCATCAGCAGCTTGAAGAAATAGATCAACTTTGTTCGACTCCAATGTCAATTTTTCTACCTTCGATAATTGAGAGTACTGCCTCTCAAATTCCCTTAGTAGCTCTGTTGCTTGCAAATTCTTATTGGGCCGTTCAATCCATCCCAAAAACAGCTTCTTAGTAACGCAATCAGCATCTTCCAAGAAATATTCGTCTTTCAATGCATGTGAAAAATCCTCCCATGAATTCCCATAACGATCCGTAATTGATGTAATGTGGTCTCTTATCTCTGATATCATGGCAAGTCCAAATAGTGCAACCATTTTCTTCTCAGAAACCCGATTTAATTCCATTTCACGAACATAATATCTTAAATACCTTGAAATATTCCTCCCATCAAATTGATCAATTTTATTGACCACTACTTGCAATGCTTTGATTGCCAAAGCTTCCTTTCGATCATTGCTTTGCTGTTGCTGCATTGACAATGAGAAGGCTTGAAACAAACTAGCGATAGACAGATCCATATGCATACCTTGTCTTTTAGAAGACTCCCCACCAGAGACTCCTCCCAAAAATCCTTCAAAATTTTTATTTTCGTTTTCCATAAAAATAAAGATAAAATCAACCGAAATCCAATACCTTCCACCTCAAGCTTTCACGTCGGATTCACCACTTTTTGTTGTATTACGTGTTTTCTTGCTCAAGAACGCGCCGGGCGTCTGGCTGTAGAAGGTAGTATGGAGATTCACCGATAGTTAAGCAGTCTATCAGTTTTGACTACTGGAATATAAACGACTGCAACAATGTACCGTAAATCTATACGGATGCTCTTCGACTGCTTGTCGAAGTCCTTTTTGCCCCAGCCGGTAGGTCTCTAGACGTTACAGAGAACCCCGAACAAGCCAAACTGTTAATCTTCAATACCGCTTTGTATTTACGATCTTGTATCCACTGACTGTCTTGTTAGATTAACCCAATAAATTTCATTCACTCTGCATACTCAATCCTATAGACACCCTTTTAATCCTTCAATCACAGACGTGACTCGATTTCACAAAACAGTCAAGAGTATTCAAATCCACTTCATTAAAAATTCCGATTCACCATTACAATACTGACTTCAGCAACGATTGCCTCAGTCTTCCCAAAACTCTACGAAGAAGAAAAACCCAAATTTTATGTCTTTCTTTCACCGACCCGAAGCATGAAGCTCCCCTATCTAATCTCCTTGATCTTCAAAAACCTCCAATGAAAAACCAAACTAGTAACCTTGCAAAAGCTTGAAAACTAGCTCCCCTTGATTTTCAAAAGAAAACCCCCCCCCCCAAAAAAAACTCTTTCTCATAACCTTATCCTCTGAATTTCTTCAATCTTCCGTCTTGGATCCGGAATTGGTTCTTGCCATCAAGGCTTAGATCCAAAATTGGCTCTCGCCGTCAGAGCTTTTTCTCCCCCCGTTTTTACCTTTAAGAGATCCTTTTACCGAAAACAACGTTCCCTGAAACGGCACAGAGAACAGGACAGCCCGAAACAGAATCGAAACCCGTAATCGGGACCACATTGAGTCGCCCGACCAATTCAGGTTCCATATTGGGTAAGATGCCCGTAATAACCTGGATGTTCCCATAATTTGGTCTGCATTGGGTTGCCCGGCCAATTCAGGTCTCATATTGGGTAAGAGGACCCGGATTGGATTCTCGAAATTGGATCCAATTGGCTCTTCGAACTCGTCGTGTGAATTGGTCCTTCTCTTCCTGCTGACTCCCGTTATTGGAATTGAATGGAGCATTTCAATATGCCCCGAATGACTGTAACGGGGTGACTGAACCTGGCCACTCAGTATTTGTACAAGAGTTGGTCGATGCTCCCAATATTCGAGGTAATTGAATATTAATAAAATTTCCCTTTCTTTTTATTTTCACTGTATACTCGTATTACAACACGACAATATGAGATTGCTCATTGTTATCTTGATACCAATCCGAAGGCACATTGGGATAACTGAAAACGTCTTCTCCAACCGTAATTTCCGAAGAACCAGTCTTAAATTTCAATGATCCTCCCAAATGCTCACTTTCCTGTAAAACCTCTACTCCTTCAACATCCTCTATTCCAATCAAATGGACATCTACCTCAATTAAAGGTGTCAAACCATCGTCCAACTCCATTCCAATGAAATTCAATCCTGCCGTCAATTCTGATGAAGAATCAAGGTTGTCCTGGAGCCACTTGGCATACTCTCCATTGTCTGACCAATGGTGGAGATTTGGACCAAGACACTTCAAGGTTTGAACCTCAGCTTCAAACGTCATCCCATCCACGGATTTTAATGGTGTGCCTTCTCCAATAGATATGGTGTCAACCACCTCGAGTCCTATCAAAGGCTTGATTCTAACTTTAGTGGGGTTTTCATATGGACCGTAAACTATGGAGGGCTTATCACCACCCCACATGATGGCGACATTGGCCATCCTCAACCACGGACGATCTAACAGAAGTGGAAAAGATTCTTTGGAAGTGTGCATCCTGATAACATGGAAGGTCACTAAATAATCCTCCTCCCCTGTAGAGATTTTACAGTTCGTGATCTGGCCTAAAGGCCTAGCAGGACTCTGATCTGCCATGTTTAATACAAATGGTGAAGGTCCGGTTAAATTCAACCCCAACTTCTCCATGGTATGAAGTGGCATGATGTTAAGCCCACTACCTCCATCAATAAGCACATTCGGAACCATCTTGTCCACGATAGTGACCTCGATCTCCACTGCCTTCACATCCATTGGCCTAATAGATGCTTGTACCCTAGCCACTGTCCTCTTCTGAGTCTTCTTCTTCCTCTTCGCCCTAGGCAATCCTTCTTTGAAACTCTTCCTCATCAAAGGAGATATCTCCAATAGTTGAGCAATTGAGATGTCAGCCTTTATCCTCCGCAAGTCCCTCCAGAGATCATACTTCTAGTAAGAGGTTGGCGTCGTATCACTCAACCCTCCAAACTCCTCCTCTGGAATATCTGGACCCTCCCATTCACCCGGTTCTAACCCTTTACCTGGATCAGAGCCTTCAGATGACCTTTCATCACCTACTGCGCCGCCTACCTCCCTTGTAATTTTTACCACCTCCTTTGCAACCGCCTCAAGAGCTACTAAATCCAACAACTCTTCAGACTCACTACTATTTGAGTCTTCTTCATCGATTGGTGATTGCCTATGAGCTTGCCCTCGGGTAATCACAGCCAAAGTAGCATTCTCATGGCCACCGCCTCCGTTTTTCTTCAATTCATGGGTCACTAAATTAGAAGGTGCTTCATGTTCTTCAATCACCACTGTGGTCTTTGCTAGAGATGGCACAGGACCCTTCAATAAGACCTCTTCTGCTACTCTAACATCTTGGTTAGAAGATGGACCTTGTTTTTCGTTTGCATAGTTTCGATAGCCGCCTTGTTGATTTTGGGCAACTGGGATATAACCTTGGGAGGTTTGTAACCCTTCCGAAGGTTGATGGTTTTGTCTGAAATCCTCATAGTTGTAGTAGAGATTAGGAGGTTTTAGTCCTCTGATCATCACCATGAGGTCGTCTCTGATCTCTCATGTTATTCCGCGCGTTCTCATAAGGATTTATTATTGGTGGTGGTAGTTGAATTACCTTGTCAGGTTGTCTACATTCATGGGTAGGATGATTGCTACCACAATTGCCACACGGCCGTAGTTGGCCATCATCCCAGCACTGACCCGGCTCATGCCATCTCCTGCAAAGCTCATGGTACTCCTTCCGAGGCTTGCCACTTCTACCATATCCTTGAAGACCACCTTGATAACCTCCTTGCCGCTGCTGAGGTCCTCTATCTCTTCCATAGCCCTGTGTTGGCTGGTATGGTTGACGATTTGGATTACCTTGAGGCCTTACTCGGCACTGAAGAGATGAATGTCCATTTTGGCCACAAGTAGTGCACCAAACCCCCGAGTTATGGTTACCAGACTCTATCCGAGGAGGTGGGTGTTTGAATTTTGATTCTTTACCATGAATGCCATCTGCTCAGTCAAGGCTTGGATCTGCTTCATCATGGAGTCTTGAAAACCTTCTTGTCCGGCCTGTATTTTCTCCTCTAAGTCCTCCACTCTCTTCTCCAATTGTGGCTCTGGTAATGCCAATAAGGGTACCAGAGCTCTGGTGGCCATGGGCATGACATTGTAATATTAGGCACCATTGTCGACTATCGGAGGTGTACTTGACATGCTTGGTCCTACCGCTTGGCTTACAGGATTAATTGGAATAAACCCCGGGATAGACTCATCTTCCTTCCTCTAATACCTTTCATAACTTCTCTCGATTAAATCTACAACACGCGCCGCTGTTTTGGCTTCCTCTAAAGTGGCTGGGTTTCTCTCTAATACTCCCTTGATTGTAGATCGATTAGCAAATCCTTCAATGAAGAATTGCTTTATCCTATCGCCATTCAACAATCCTCCTACATAACGCATGCAGACCAAGTCAAACCTCCTGATGTAGTTAGCCATTTCCTCGTCTCTTTGTTGTCGTACCGCTCCTAGTGCTCTCAAGGCTGTACTTTGTCCAACCTCCCGCCTAAAGTGGTTTAAGAAGGCTACTTGCAATTGGGACCACGTAGTAAAATGTCCCTCATCATGGTCCCGGTACCAATTGTAAGCCTCACCGTGTAAGGTTCCGGGGAACCAAACCAGATAATATCCCTCGTTCCCAATGACGGATGTTGTCAAAATCTCTATGTACCTCTCCATGTGTAGGGTTGGATCCTCGTCCTTGGTGCCATAGAACTTGGGAAGATTCCCTAGAACTATGGCCGCTAATAGCCCTGCTGGCATAGCCATGGGCAAACCTCGTGGCCTAACTAAGGGATCCAAAGCTGGAAGCCGCTCCGTCGCCATCTCGTGAACAAATCCTTCGACTGCAGGCACAAAGTCCAAGGTCCTATCTTGTTCTCCTATTTTTCTAAGGTTCACGTCTCCAAACACTCCGTCTTCAGGGTCTACGTGTTCTATCACTGCCGAGGCATTACCCACTAACAAGGCAATGACAACGACGAATTACAATCCTAAGTTAACATAGATCATTCAATGTATGATGGCTTACCTCATGCAATTCCAGCTTCCTGCACAATTAGTATACCACCGGCCTCTCGATCACATGCTAAGGTTTCTAGCACAAACTACCATAGATATCCCCAAGATCCACATACCTTCTGCTGTGCTCCTTCCAATCACGACCCCATCATCTTGCTCCTATTATCTCCTTCCTCCATGTAATCAATCATCGCAACTCAAAAAAAAAAAAAAAAAAAAACAAAAAAAAAAAAATTGTTAGACAACGTCTCTAAGATCGACTCCGGACAAACGCACCATTTATGTGAGCTAAATTCCTCCACCCTTAATTGCGTTTAGTAGTCAAGTGGATTAACTTCACTCACACGCAATTTTTATAAATCCTAAGTTCATTCATAAACCCTAAATTCATCCATAAATCCTAAGTTCATCCAAAAACCCTAAGTTCATCCAGAAACCCTAAGTTCATCCAGAAACCCTAAGTTCATCTAAAAACCCTAAGTTCATCCAAAAACCCTAAGTTCATTCATCCTAAATTCCCCTTCATCAATCATCCATCCCTTAAATCTCATTCATCCTATAACATTCATTCATTCAAAGTTTATTCATCTAATTTTCATCTAAAGATTCATTCATCCAACCATAAGTCAACTTATCATCTAACTGACAATTCGTGCAATTGACCTAATTCATCCAAGTTTCATCCTAAAAACTAAAGAAAATTGGAAGTCGCCACCTTCCAAGTCATGGTAGCGACCCCCTTGCACGAATTCCACTACAATGGTTGCATCACTAACTTGTTTATAACAAGCTTTGCTATTTTAGAAAGTAGACTTACAAGCGCTTGTCCTCCAACAAAATTCAATGCAAAACAACAATTAAGCTAAGAGAAATCTTGCCTCAAAGTTGCCTGACTTTCTCGGCCTAGTCAGAGCACCCCTGGCCACAAAAATCCTTGCCCTTGCTCCATTCCAGTTGTGCAATGCATATGCTTTAGCATTCCAGAAACTAGAATTGAAGCCGCATCACCTCCAACAATTTTTTCTTGAAAATCTTGAGTGAATTCCAAGATATGACCTTCCAAAGTAGCTTGAGTTGGCGGAGTGCTACATCTTCACCACGGCCGACTCCTCTTCACTCCAACCACCATAACTTCCTTGGCCTTTACTCAATCTAAGCGTGCAAATAATCCTTGCAAAGCTGACAACAAGAACCATCTCCCACAAAAGTTTCAGCTCCAAATTCAATACTGTCCGCCAACACTCGCCTTCCAAAGTCGGACCTCCAGATCTGGCCGGCAGCTGACCTCCTTGTCACTAAAACCACCACAACTTTCTTGTTTTCTCTCCAAACAAAGCGTGCCTACTGTCCCGAGGAAGCTAACGACAAGATCTAACTATTGGTAAAGTTTGACGTTCTATTTCCAGATAACTAATACACTACAGCTGCGCAATTGCAGCTCTATAGAAACAAGGGTACGTGGGGATGCAATTTGGCATGGCTTCGCCCCCCCAAAAAAAAAAAAAAAAAAAAAAAAAAAAAAGAGAGCGAGTGTGGCCACCCCCACCCTCTTATCCAAGTAGGAAGAGACCAAAGGGTGGCGGCCACATCTCCACCATCCAAATCCACCAACCCTAATCAAGATCAAGGGCCCACATTAATCCTATGTCCTAAATCCGATTTTAGTGCTGGACATGCCCAAAATCTCCAATTCGAAGCGTTTTTTGACAAAACTAACTCCACCAATGTGTTTAAAACATATTTAAACATCAAGTTTGACTATTCATACACCCAAATCTAAGTTCTAGATCACTAAGAACCAACAATTTGACAAACCCATCACAATAAATTTACTTCTAATTATTTTCTTCTCCTTTTTCTTCTTCTTCTCCTTGTCCCTCTTCATCTTCTTCCTTCTTTCTTCTTGGCCTTTTTGTTTTTTTTTTTCTTTTTTCTTTTTTTTTTCTTTTGGCTCTTTTTCTTATCTTTCTTTCCACTCCCTTCTCCTTTGATTTTTCTTTCCACTACTAATCATCAATAAGCCACTAATATTAATGTCTATAACTAACTTATTATAACAAAACATAATCAAAATCCTCATTTTTTTTAGATTTTTTTAGTTTAACCAACAATGTAAATCAACTTTTGGGCTCACACTACCTTTGATATTTTGAAAAGGATATTCTAAAAATTTAATACGAATTGAATTATTTTATTGAATATAATATCTTTTGATAATTTATGATAGCAATAGATATAATCAAGGAAAAATTTAGTTATTTCTTCAATCATAATAAATTTTGTATATGGTCATACATGGTAGTTGATGGTACATTATAAGTATTACATTTAGGTGAATTTTGTACATGTATCTACTATCACAAATATAAAGTCATATAAAATTAAATTTAAATGACTTGTGATAAAATCCATTGAAATAGAAGACTATGGTTGTTCTAGTATAAATAGTGGTTGTAGAAGTTTTTAAGATTAATGATAAGAAATATTTGATCTTAAATAAATGATATATGATTCTATAAAGCCTTTGATTGCCTTCCATATTTTTGGCTATCAAAAATCTCTTAAGATTAATTCTAATATTTTTTTGTATCCAAAATATCATGTAGTTGGAAAGTTGTGACAAACTTGAAGATCTTATAATTATGCCTCATCTTCTAGAATATGTAAGTAATCTATAAAATAAAATAGATTGTTCTTCAATTCAAATTTAGAAATATTATGAGATTTAAAAAAAATCCTAATATCATAAATAAGAGGTTCAAAGGACATTTTTTATTGAACTTGCTTAAAAAAAATTTAATTAATAATTAATATTGATTTCATTATTTAAAGATTTAATTACTTTGGCTTTAAGAGTTTTTTTTTTTATTAAAAGCTGCAACTCTTTTATTTGGTACAAGATAAAAATATCTAAAAATGGCATCTAATAAACCTTATTATTTTTATAGTCAATACATGATCTTAAATTCAAATCTTGATAAAAAATATATTTCAACAAACTTGGCAACAATTTAAAATACAAGCTTCTATTAAATATTTAAGATTCTTATAATTTCTATAAAAAAAACATTGAATTTGAATCATCTTTTAAATAATGGCACTATTTTTGAAAAGAATTCAAATTTGCAAGAATTATTTTATTATAAATCTTATAGCTGATCTCTACTATTGAAAAATTTCTTGAATAAAAAGCAACAATATGGGATTTGTCATCTCTTTTTATGTGTAAAAATATAATATTTAAAGTAAAATTTGATGCATTAATATTCATAAAAATTTTCTTTAAAAAATTAACTTAATACAAGATTGATGTAAAAGTAAAGATTATTTTTAAAGCTTCAAATGCTCATTGAGCTTTTTTATTTCACTTAATTTTATTTTTATGTATAAAAAGAATTAAAACTCAAAAAAAGTTGATAAAAATTTGATAGTAGTTGATAAATTTCAAAAAAATATTGCGCATTTTTTATTGTTCTTTAAACCTTTCAATCTATGATAGTCTAGACTTTCTTAGGATCCACCATAAGGTCATCATTTGGAATTATATATTCTAAGAATTCAAGTTAAATAGTATTAAATATACACTTTTTTATCTTGACATAGAGCCATGGATTTTAAAAAATTTCTAACATATGAAAAATATGAAGTTTATATTCTTTTATATTCTTAAAATAGATTAAAATATTATCTAAATAATAAATAAAGAAAATTATCTAAAAATTCTTAAAAGATATCATTTATTAGTTGTTAAAAAGTAATTTATACATTTGTGAATCCAAAACGCATAACATTGTATTTAAAATGTCCATACCTAGTTCAAAACACAGTCTTTAATTCATCTCCTTCTTTGATGCATATCAAATTATATGCTCTTTGTAGATTTATTTTTGTATAAATTTTGGCTTGATTCAATTGATAAAAAAGTCCATATATCATAGATAAAATATATCTATTTTTAATCTTATTAAATTTTTAATAATTCATATGCATTTATAATAATCAATTTTTTTTCTTCATAAATAAAATGGGAGATCTTATTTTGAATGGTGTATGAAACTTTTGGCTAAGTTCAATCAACTAATTTTATAATAAACTATAGATTGGTCAAAATAATGGTTAAATTCTTTCTTAAAGAACAATTGTGCAATCATACATATAATGCCTTTGAAAAATATTCCTATTTTTCTTTCAAAAATATCTTGATAATCTGAGTATTGGCTAAGAATGTCACTTGAAATCCTTCCATCATTAGAAATGGATGTGGTATAAAAAATACAAGGTGATTTTTATTTACAACATGTATTAAAGCTCTTGTACTTATAAATAAGAATTTAATTGAATTAAACTTATGACTTTTTTCTTGATTAATAAAAATTTTAGTTATTCTTTGAAAAAAGTCAAGACTACAAAAAATCCAATCTATTTGAAGATTATATTTTTTAACCTCAATAAATCTAAAATAATTGAATTAAAAAAATTAATTATATTAAATATTATAAATATATTATAAATATTTATATTATATTTATAAAAAAATTATGGATAATATCTCAAATAGATAAAAAAAAATAACCATCTATGACTTCAATATATATATATATATATATATATATATATATTAGTTTAATTTTCTTCATTAAGCATATACAAAGAATTTTAATAAAAAAATTATCTAAAAAAAATTAAAGCTTTTAAATTTAATAAGATAGTTGTTCTATGATATTTAAGTCCTAAATTAACATCTATTGTAAAATTTTAAAAAATGATTATAATGAAAAAAATAAGATCTTCACAAGATATTGTATAAGATTTCAATTGAATAATTCTTATTGTAGTTGAATAAATTTGTTTTTCAATATATTATATTCTTTGACAACCATATTCTTCATTTTATAATTATGATGCTTCTTTGGATAATATTGAGTAATAAATTTAGATTCTCCATAATAAAAATAGAATTCTTTTTAACAAGAAAAAATCTTTTTTTTGCTTAATAAGAAAATTTGAAATGTATTGCATTAATTTACATATCTTTTATTTTTGAATATACATATGAATAAGACATTTGTATTGCCATTGAATTGTAAAAATGTTAAAGCATACTTATACAACTTTCAAATTGAAATTAAAAATGTCAATTGTTATATTTTATAACAAAATCAATTACTTGACTCAATGTTTAAGAATTAGATAAATCTAATATCAATTTATTTACAT